CTGATCACGGATTAGGACAGCAGCCTAAAATCAAAGGTGCTGGTTGATCTCTGTGGTAGAGGCTGCATTTATTTATTCAACTTGACATATGGGAAGGGCTTGTTATCCTATCTCCAATTACTTTAAAGGAAAAAAAGGGATTCATATATGATGGTCAGAGATTATGTGTGCGAGTGCTTTAGGCAAACACTTTACTCAAGGACAAGCGTGGAATAAAGGAGAGAATGGAGTCCGAGTCCAATTAAGATTAGACTGTAATCATACCATTAGGTTCCATGCCATCCCTTTCTCTACGAGGAGACATGTGCAACAAAAAGGCAGCAATTACTTGGAGGAATTCTAGTTAAGTAAAACCTAATGTAGTCGTACTGGCTTGTCGCTGTTGGTCTAGATTCAGCCTCGGGCACCCTGCATGGCGCTTAATGGTGGTCCCAGTCCTTATTTGGGATTGTTCTGACTAAGAAGATGCAAGGGTTGATATTCTAAAAACAATGGTACCCATACTGTATATTGTCCTTTTCATTCTGTGTTGTAATGGAGTTATTACAATTTAGTTACTAGATGACATTTTACAGAAAAAAAAACATTTTTTCTAGGAGAGACTTTTTTTTTGGCTCCATATGGATATGGTATACACAAAGATTACTCTATGGTGGTGCTCTTTTATGTTATTATAAAGAAAGAAAGGGCCAATAATGAAGTACAAATATTTTTTGAGGGGTGTCTTCAGCTCCTTTTGAGGAATGCCTGGGAAAGAAAGACTCATTATCCCCGTCAGCTTACGAGAGCTCTATTTTTTGGGAATACGCCCCCTGATCAGGTTAGGAGACACTACAAAAGAAAGCGGTTGAAGAAGGGTTTTTCTCAATTGGTGGGCTCTGATAGTCACATTCCACGCATTAACCTTAAGAGTTCTTAGAGTTATAACTGAAGGTGGAGTGTAGATCATCATTCAAACAAACAGAAATATAGATAGCTGGCAGCTACAGATGGAAGAAGAAAGCATCAACGTTTCCCCTTAAAATGTAAGACTTGTAAGAGCAACAAAAACTCCTCATTAGGGAACCCAGCATTGCTACAGAATACCCCTAATACTATAATTTCGACCGTGGAAAAATCCATTCAACCAATCATGAAAAACCTTTTTCTAATTTGAACACCCATTTTCGAAATTCTAAAACATATTAAATAATAAATACAATTCGGAAAATTCTGAGTGTACAGAAAAAAATTACCAGAACATTACTAGACTCTCACATGGGGTCCCCATGTGAATTAAATAATGTTCAAAAAATGGGGCCCACCCCCAATGTGAGTATCTGTAGCATTTCTGTAAAAAAAAATTCTGGTAATGTAGCATTGCTCATACAATTCTGAAATTCCCTTTTTTCAATTTGAGCATCCATTTCTGAAAATCTATTAAAATTCTTTAAGTTGTTACTAATATTATTATTTACACAAAGACCAGAGATGGTTGTATAATCTTCTTCAGAACTGTACAAACAATCTATCAATTGAGAAAGTAAAACCATTGTGGCTAGGACAGTAAATATTTTCCCAAACAATTTGTTGGAAATGGTGCCAAGCGG